TACCATTCCAAGCACAAATAAATTTAAACACACTTCCTTCCCACAAAGTACTACTCTCCCAAGGCCACACACATTTAGAGCTCCTGTAGCCTTTACCTGTCCTAATTAACCAGCTGAACCAATCCATCACCTTGAGAAATCCTCTAATTAACCCTCAACACACCCCCACCCCTCCACTACCACTGCCTCACCTCACCTGTCTCATCCCCCCAGCTCTCTTTACTCACCCACCACTTTTAGCACTTCGTTGCACATGGATGCCTCCATTAACCATTAAACTGGACTTCGATAAAGCCCACGTGCCATAGGGAAGAGGTGGGGGGAGGGGGTGGAGAATGCTGGCTCTCATTAAACACTTTGAGACCTGACAAAATCAATTACAGTGATGTATCGATTTGTCAGCTGGTCCTGGCGATTCGACAATAGCACCTCGACTGCCACAGGGCTGAAGGGAATGCAGGGATTCGGAGAGGAGAGGGATGCTATAGGAAAAGACAGAAAGATATGCACAGGGGGAAAGGACACGAGCATTGGCGAGCAGAGGAAACCATGGAGACGGTGTGAAGGTGGAGAGTACTGAGGAAGAGTGGAAAGGAAAGAATGGATTTAGGCGGAGTGATTGAATAGGGGTAAAAGGACAACATCAGGAGCAGAGCAGAGATAAATGTAGACCTGTAAAACGTAGGTAGGGAGAGTAGAGGGGAAAATACCTTTCCTTATCAAACTAGCATTCTCCCTCCCTTAATGTCACTCAATTTCTCTCTTGTTCTCTGTTGACCTTTCTTTAAATTCTCCCCTCTACCTCCACAACCTCTCTGTTCTTTGTATTTTCTCACTCCCTCTCCTTCTCCCCTCCCTCTATTATAACTTAGTCTGCCTGAACTTTCTGTCCAGGGCATAAACTACTCCCCTTTCTACCGTAAGGGTGATCATTTAGGCACAGATGAGGCTGTAACCTTGAAAGTTACTGACAACTAAGTTAAAGCTGGGCAGGTTGCAACATGAGAAAACACAGGAGGGATGATGCAGCAAAGAAAAAATAAATAAATAAAAGTGCAGCACATGAACCATGGATTTGGGCTTCGTGAATAGAGGAAACCTAATGCCTGGCTGTGCATTCTCTAAGATACCTGCAAATCATTCTGGTGTTCATCCTGCATGTTCAAAACAAGATTGCCCATTATCCCACACCTGTGTTGCTCTATGCTGCTATGTCTATTCACAACCTGGGAATAATAAGGTAGACCCACAGAAAGCATCGAGCACAAACTAAGTAGCTATGAGGCTTTTTTATATTTCACAAAGACAGACAAGGCATTGCTTCCTTTTTTTATAATGAGGCAGCAGGGCTGAAACAGACAACATGGGACATGATTAGATGGCTGCACTTGCAGCAAATATGCCTCCAACCTGAAAGCCAAAAAGAAAAAGAGCCACTTACTCATACTGGGATGATGTAGTTTGCATACTTGAGGAGATTTATGAGTGAAATTTCAAAAGACTGATGGTATATGCTACAGTGTTTGCACACCATTGGGGCTGGGGATGCTTTAATTGATCATTTCCTGCATTACCAACCATTCAAACAGTGATAGAATAAATTGAAGTTAACGCTACCATGGTCTAATCATACTCCCATGATATAAATGGTGTGTTACATGACTGTGTAAAAAAGCTTTTTCAGTAGGTGTATAATCGCTTTTATTGTTTTTTTTTTTTTTTTTCTAAATTGAAAAATACACATCAGATCAGAGCTGCATAATGTTTATAAAACTTTTAGAAAAATAATCCAGAAACTGCATGTTAAATGATCTTGGGTATAGCATGTGTTGAAATAATATTTTAAATTAGCACAATACTGCACAGGATAGTTTTGATACATATGAAATATACCATAGAAAGTTAAAGTACACTCTACATTCACATAAATTTAGATAAAGATCCAAACTAAAACAACTGCTGAATCTCTGAACTTATATAAATTCTTAGGGAGGATTCTACAGAAAAGACAGGCCTAGAATCTCTTTAGACAGAGTCTGTCTGCCAGGCAATTAACACATTTCTTATCATGGTTCAAAAGTTCACTAGGATCTTAAAACTTTTTATAAATAATTTTATCTATATTAGAATTAACTATATTTCTTTAAGCATGTTTTTAATTAGTTACTTATTAGATCCAAACTTATAGTCATTATTTAGCATTACATTGTGTGCAAGCTTGGTTAAAAATACAAACTACTTTCTTGTGGAAACATTTTGAGGCACAGATAGCGCTGCAGCTGCAATCATATATCAAACTGGACAGCGGCTGATACGAGAAGGGTTTGCCGTATATCTGCTTTTGGGGCTCTTTAGCAGGAGGTAATAAAATTAACATTGAGACAGCCCACACAAAGGAAAAGAACACACCTCCTAATGCATATATTTAAATGAGGAGAATACGCAGTCTATAAAAAATGGTTTGTTTCACAGCAGAAGTTGGAATCTCTTTGTGCTGAGTGAGAGTTCCCCGGAGGATGCATCTTTTGTCTTTTTTACTCAGTTCTTTGTCTCTGTTTTGTAATATCTTGGACTTTTGATGTTCTAGGTGAGAGGCTTATTGTAAAGTTCTTGGATTGATTTTCTCTGGATAAAACTCTGAATATCTGAAGTCTGACGTCGTATGATTGCTCTTTCCTCTCTGCACACTTACACAGACACAGGAATTCGGGACTAAGAATTAATTAAAGAGCTAAATCAAGTTCTTCATCTTTTTAATTCTTAACACATGCCAAGCAACTGCTGTTGATTCACCACTGAGTCATAAAACATACTGTACACTCTAGAGAGGCCGATACTGCAGTTACAGATATCAAGAAAAAAATTATCACCTTAATGAGAGTTGTTTTGGTTATGCTTGTAGAAATCATAGCACCTCAGTGTCATTTGATTTATGATAAATATTACCGTTATATACCTAGAAGACAAGCGGATTATGAACTGATCAAACAGTAATTTTATATTTAATAGCACTGAATACATTATTTTGGTGAATTATTTTGACGACATACATAGAATATTTTTAGAAAATGTAAGAAAAAGTGTTAAAAAACTCACATTTTAACCACCGCCTTCCTTGAGGTTTAGATCTAAATGAAAATATTTGGTCGATATTGAAATTGTGAGTGAAAGGCTTGGTTCTAAATATTCACCTACTAATTGTTGCCCGTCATTAATTATTGGTGACAAATAGAATAGTTTCAGGTAAACTAAAGAAAAACCAGAAAGTTAAATGGTAACAATAGTGAAGTTCTTCTCCACTTTTTGATCAGGAAAGAGAAGTAGTTCAGAAGGAAAGGAAAACAAATCCCATTTATCAAGTCATCACAGCAATTATTGAGGATACAACAGCAGAAAAAGAAGTTCAACAATATGTTTCACCCCCAGTTCCAGCTACGATATTGTTCTGTTCAATCTTGCAAGGTTTTCTAGAATTTAGTTTCTAGAAATTTTCTAAATTTACTCAAGAGTATGAAAAAAAGCTTGAAGTAGGCTGTGTGTCTTGGAAAATTCAGTATTTTTATGACACAATCGGTCTTGGCTTTAGTCCAGTGAAAGGGTCAGTTATTACAGTAGACTTGAATGTCAACTTATGCAGTTTTATTCTCACTCTGACAGCATCAACAGCTTAACAGACAGCTCCAAATCTAACAAAGGTCTCTTCTTCACTGACCTTGTTTCATGTTTCTATGCATGCAGTTGTGTGTAATTCTGTTTGTGAAGAGACAGAAAAAGAAAAGAGAGAAATGGACTGCATAGATCTCAGAGTTGTTTAGGCTCAGGCTACTGGTTCGATATCCATCAGATTTATGTCTCTGTTATTTTCCTCTCCTAAACATTAAGTGATAAACTCAGTGAAGGACACAATAACAAAGATCTACCTTTTCACCTCTCTCTCCTTGTCTATCTCTTGGTCGCTCTGTCTGTCTCCTTCTGTCCCTGCACTATCAATCAGCCTTGTGGTAATTGCTGTTGGATTACGGGGCTTTTGCTGTCTGCTTCTAGCGATTAACGTCAGGCAAAAAAAAGCCCCTTATATACCTCCAGTTACTGAGTAAAGAGCGGGGCCATGTGTGTTCACATTCACCACAATCAACAATTCACAAACTAATCTGCAATTCCATAACAAAGTTAGCATCTATTGAATTCCAGTTTCAGTGTGTGTGTTTGGCTTTGTAATGCAAGCGTGATTTTCCACCTGTTTGTCCTTGTTTGATTCTCAAATGCATATCAGCTGGAGATAAAGTGGTGGATGTGGGGTAGTGATCTCAGCAGAAGACAGTGGCGGCCATGATAGATTAGGACTGGCTGCAGGGTATAATGGAAAACAACAGAAGTGAGGAACATACACGCTAGCAACACAGCACTAGAGCATCTGCACATTCGCCTCAGAGACGACAAACTTGTTTCCGTGCCTGGTGTTTATCTTCCTCCACTCCTGCAGAAGCATACAGAGAGATGGCAGAAGCAGCAATCACTGGCACAGTTTCCTTTTCCTTCCCTCACAAACATAATTTATCACCTACAGGAGCTTACTCAGTGCATGCACGAGTATGTGTAGACAGTCTGACCTAATCTAGTGCCACCTTAACCTTATTAAAGAACAAAATGGAGACAACAGAGGAAAAATATGTCCTTCCTAACCCCTGCAGGAAAAAAAGAAAACTGGCACTAACAGCAACTGTCCCTCAATGTCTGTCCTTTAACTCATATCTCAAAGACACACGGACACATTCTGACAAACACACACGCCAAGGGTTCCAGGCAGGCTCTTGCTGAGAATAAAGGAAAAGACACCATTTGTCTTCCCGTCACCTCCTGTCCCATTGCTGTCCCCTGCATGTCAAATTGTTTTATTTCTTCAGTTAATCCTTCCACAAGCATGCATCTCACAGTAAGACACAGTCCTCCAATACGACTAATTTAAATATGGTGCAGTAACCAGAGTCAGAGAAAAGAAGGCAAATCAAAACAGTATTTATTATAACTGCTACATTTATATAAATGCGGGTAAAACGCATCTGCACAACACATAAACACAATTTGAACAAATTGTAAATTTCATTTGCTTGTCTCTGTCAGTACATGACTCATGGCAGTACGAGGACGCTTTGTTGGTCTCTCTCTGCAGTATTCTCCTCTTGGTGTTGTTCCCTGCTGGAGTCATCCCTAAAAGACCAAACCCACAAATTAAAAGTTGAGTAGACACACGTACAATACTCACATTGTGACCTATAATCAATACATACATGTGGTGCAAATTTTCTAAAGATTCCAGGAATCAATCTTGAAGGGGCAATAATATGTATTTTCCAGGGACATTGTGACAATTTATGGAACAATCATGTAACTATGTTACCTTCAGTTTTGCACAACTGAAATGGTTGCCATGGCAGATTCAAGGATTTCTCAAACACACATGAAAGAATCAAGGCAACACTATGCATGTTTATGATGAGGGAAAAAAACACTATAGTACGATGTAAACGTCAAAAAGTAGATTTTACATAATACCGTCCCTTGAAGAAACCTTTGATGAAAAATGTCCATATATTGTACCAGCTGGTACACCATAGGCTGGTACACCCTATGGATTAGTTTATGTTTTGTTGGTGCCATAACAGAGTATTAGGTCACAGCAGAGACCCCTTTGTCATTATCAGACTAATTTGCAAACATTTTAGCAATTTGGAAACTATTAAATGATCACAAGTATTTGATTTGACAAAACGTTAGAAAATGTTTAAAATACATTTTGTGGCTAAGAAAGCACTGAATGTAACTGAAACAGGACATGGGCAGGAATTGATCTTTGGTCTCTGTACATGCTAAAAGATTTAGAAAAGCATCTTGACTATGATTAAGCAGCCAAGGATAATTAGGAGTTCTAAAAAACGAGCAGGCATATCAACGTCATCCACTTCACCAACACATTCTGATACTGCCACTTAAAGAGGTCCTCTGTAAATGTTAGACAACAGTGGTAGTGCGTAACAGATGTACTATAAATTAGTATGCTAAGTAAACCACTTGCAGCAACGCCCTTAAATACTCTAAATATTTTAGGTGACTCAAAGGCCTTCTACAGCAGAGACTACATGTCTCAAGAATTTGTAAAAGTATGTTCATTTTCATATAATGAAACTTCAGCTGTGTTAATACATTTCTACCCTGAGCTTTTCAAAGAATAGATTTTTTTTAGTGGGTCAATTTGTGCATTACAGCATAAAATCCACTTAGCTTGTACAAATTCAATGGTTACAGCAACCTCTCCAGAACCAGCATACTGTTTGTTTTTGACTCCATGTTGTTCACTGGAGATCTCTTCTCCATTACTGAAGATTGGGATAGCGTTAAATACAGCAGGTTTTTCAAGGTAGAAGTGAAAGCTTGACTAACAGTTGACAAAGTAGCCATCTGAACAAGTGTAGATGCCCTAAACACAGAGTTTTGCTAAGCAGTAAAGAATTTGGCTGAGTACATCTTAGCAACTACAGCACTGTTTTTCTACTAATCATTTGCCACTGCAGGCACACATGCAACATGTAAACCTGCAATTAGGAGACACCTGTTTTTGTGTGTTTTATTGGCTGCATAGCAATCTCTTTGAATCCAATGGTACATACAAGAGTTTCTGGAATTTAGGATTTTCCTACCAGAAAACAAAGCAGCGTGTCTGCAGTGACATACTGATAGGATGTGGAAAATCTCTGATCAAAAACAAACATTGTAATGAAAGTGGTGGAAAAGTCCTCAACCAGTTGCCAAAGAGCCTGAAAACATACTGGAGAAGATATACTGTATTGCTGATCAACAACACCACTGATGTCATAAAACTTGCTTTTATGAATTACTCTGTTTAGTTAAAATCTATGGGTGGAATAAACTTAGAGTCCTTTCAGTACCAGGCCTCTAGAGCAGAAAATACCCTCAATATACTTAAATATCTAAAGGGCACAGACCCTCAAAATTATTTTAAAAATACAAGGAAACATGTTGACACACACAGACCTTCTCGCTCTTTTTTTTCACACATTTAAACACTGAACAGCACATTAGGACTTAGTACCTAACAGGATGTCAGAGCTAAAGTCGTTGTGCTGGCTAATGATCCATTGCACATTACATATTTCAGAAAGAGAGACTGACAAGCACCACGAGGAAGGAGAATCAGGAAGAGTAGAAAGATTTAAAGCAAAAATACACATACATGTTTAGCCACAAATTGTCAGGGCAGAGACAAAAAAATTCCTTTTTAGATTTAAAGACAAATATCTTCTTAAATTCATTAACTCTTTAGGATGGAACAATTTTTTTATCAATTGTTAGAGTTCATGACTAAGATTGTGACAAGAATTTTAGAACTGTGGTTGACTTTTGGCTAAAGATGTATAGCATTCCAGAAAAATAGGAATGCTTCTGGGTTGCAAAACTCTGATTTTGAGGCTTTGATCATATTTCCATCAGTGTTTAAACATAACAGTCTAATATTCACAAGTAATCAATGTCAGATAATTTTCAGTCAATGTGGTTTGGTTGAGTAATCAGAATGGTTGAGTTTAAGGAAGCATAATGTTGTGATGATAAATCTCTGCACTGTTGCATGCTGATGCATATAATAATTGTAAAAACGAAGACACAGGGATGCATGCTGCTTATGCAGTAAAATTAACCAGCTGAATGTTATGCACCATTTCAAATGTTGACTCTCATCTTCGTTTTCCCCTCCATTGCCGTCTGACTCCAAACTGAAAGCTTGGTTCGCTTTTTTAGAAAAACAGATATTAAAGAAGATTACTGAATTTTTACAAGTCAATTTTGTAATAAGGTGACATGCTGTTTATATATGATTTATTTGTAGATTTATTTACGTATGCATTGTGTATTTGCCAGAAGTTGTAGTTCCTGCTCCATAATGTGCAGCATTCGTGCGGTCATGTCAGTGTCCATATCAGGGTCCTCACAGCCATTCTGGTCCAAACCGCAGATCTCCATAATCACTTGTGCAGCTTGAGAAAGTTGACAACCTGCCAGGACAAATTTTAAAAGACAAGGTGAGGGAAAGAAGAAAGCATGATGAGCTAGACATAATGATGAAAACTTTATTTAAAAATAAATTCGTAAAATATTCAGTAAAACCATTGCATCTTTACGTTTGAGATAAAAAATATGGATGCTTCAATTATAATTATTAGTTTTTTTATTTTGATTGAACTGCACCTACTTCTTTCCTTGTATAGTATCATGAGATAACTAACACAATAGTTTGCTAATTAGTCACCTTTTATCAACTTACATATATAATTTCACAAGCTCTAAGACAAAATCTAGCTGAAATATGAAGAGCATCTGGACATTTTTAAGTATTGGATGGCAGAAATGAAACCATGTATCACCTCGCAATGTTTATTACTTCATTTAATTTGACCTTGAATGTTCATTGAAATACATATTTTCTGCTTGAGACTTCTAGTCCATATGACTAGCACAAATTTCGCTCTCAAATATTTCAACTGGAAATAAAAAACAGCAAACAATAACACAAACATACAGTACACACAAAAATAAAATGATATGCCTATAAAATGTACATTAACCTTTTCTGAGCCTATTTTACTCAGAAAAGGCAGCAAAATCTTTGTGGCTGACTGCAGAGCATTTATTATTTCCTGATAAAGGACAGCTACTTAATATTTTCAAGGAAACTGCTTGTTCACCATAATAAGTTAATGTACCGGATCAGTCTTAATCACTGGCATCAGGTGGCTGCGGGCTTCTCAATTAAAACTAAATTGAAAGAAATCTGATTACCCCATTTACTACACTGATTTTAGTCAGTCACTGCCTCACAAAAAAACCACACAGGATGGTGACTGCTGCACACATACTGTAAGAACAACACTCACCTTCTGAACTGCATATGTTACGTTACTTCACTTTTCAGTTTCCTTTTTCCTGGCTGAACCAGTTATTGTGTTTGTAAAAGGCATGGTAATGATTTGATTATGACAGAGTCTTCCTAATCAACTGAAACATTACAAATATTTATAGCTTTCTGGTTAACAATTTTGAATCTTTGAAACAGAAAAGAACATGTACAGTAGAATCTTAATTTGCCCCAGAATAGTGACTAATGTTTCCCTACTAACTCAAATTCTCTTGGATTGAGAGCTCTGGGGTATCATTTAAGAAAAAACATCTCTGGACAAACAAGGCAGCACTGAGAGGTTCATGTTGTTTGATTTCTCCAACGCATTTAACGCAACTCAACCTGACTTACTTTGTCAAAAACTCCAGATGACACAGGTGGAAGCTAGGGGTGCATCGACTGCATTTTTCGTCGATTACCTTTAAAAAAGTCTGACCTGCCAGTTCAGATTTTGGTTGATACCAATTGTTTTTGTCTGAAATGTCACTAAATATAGCAAAAATGTTGCTGAGTTGGCAACAGTGGGGTGACTATTGTTAAGTGCAACTGTGCAGACATGACCTGGTGGGCCAGTCTATCAGTCAAACCTCTTTCACAGGAGCAGACCTGTCAAGTCTCCTGTTTTGGCCAGGAAACTACCGTTTTTTCTTTTTCTTTCCCACCATGCTCCTTTATTAGTATTTTCCTGTAAATATCCCATATTATGGCAACGAACTTCCGCTCTTATGTTAGTTTCCTCCCCCACACATCACGTCTTTGACAGTATCACCGGACGGTGACATTTTCAATATACTAAAATCCAAAACTATCTTGTGCCAGAATACTGCTTGTTCTTGACTCCATGTTGTTTAATGGAGATCTCTTCCCCATTACTGAAGATTTGGATAACTTTTTATTTTTTTAATCATTTTTTTCTCCAAAGAGTTTCTGTGGCGCTAGTGGCTCGTATTTTCGGCAGTAGTAGACAGGAAAGAGGGCGAGGAGAGGGGGGAAAACATGGCGCAAAGGCCGCCAGGAGCAGGAGTCGAACCCACGACGTCCGCGTCGAGGACTGACGCCTCCAAACGTGGGGCGTGCTAACCCCTTTACCCCCACAGCACGCCCCCTGGAAAACTTTAAATAATCTAAAATACAGCAAGGCTTTTTATAGAGGAGAGAAAGTGTAGTGGAAGTGATTGAGGAGAAGAAAAAAACCTTGGTGTTCAACTGGACAATAGGCTGAACAGGAAATGTTTACAAGGAAGGGAAAGTGTAAACCACAAGGTGCTACATGTCTTCTATAAGCCATCAGCATCTACAACAACTCTTTGAAGAACCTCGACTAATATTTAATTTTCCTGTGGGATTAAGTCAAGGTTCTTCAAAGAGTTAAAATGTAGTCTTAACTTTTTTTTCTTGAGCAAGTGGGAATGGGAGATTTTGTGGTCCATATCAATGAAGGAATAAACAACAGATATTATATTTAATGATCTACAAAGAAGAGTAATAGTATCTACTGAAGCACAGCAAGTTCAAAGAAGCAAAACTGCAAGGGCTTGAAAACATGCAATAGGAATAGGTAAAGAGGGTTTTTTTTTTTTCTAAATGATTGGATGGAAAAAAAAAGAGTGCATATGTTCCAAAAATGCTTTAATAACTTTACTATACTGCTGTCGAGGGAGCTTTCTTTTAAGAAAAAAATTGATATGATTTGTAAATAGTTTTTCTGATCACTCAGAGTTTCAGCTCTTGTTTTAGTAGATGTTCTGTTGATTGACGGATGCAATGACAGACGTAAGAATGTGGCAAAAGAAATTCTTTGAAAATACCTACAGAGGGAGTGAGTGTTAGGCAGAGATAAGGGGAGGCGTAGTAGAAGAAAGGCAAAGGTAAAAGGAATGTAGCTCTGGCTACAAAGAAAGAGTGAGAGATACAAAAATGATCACAACAGTTAGTGGAATGAGTGGTGTCTCATCCCACTCCACTGCGAGCCACATCAAATTGAATCAGATTGAACATCCATCCCCACCTGCTCACTGTAAATTACATTGAGGCCCCCACTGAGAAGCTATGATGGTGTGGCTGAGCATGTGTATGTCTGTAGCACACTGATTCCTCATGCTGCTTGCTGTCTAACCAGTTTCAGCTCTTGTGTTAAAGATTTCACTCTTTCAATCTTCTATTGTCTCCTAACCCCACCTTCTCTCCTCCCTCTCTGCTGTTGTTCCTGTCTTCAGGCGAGCTTAGAACCTCCACTTAAAGCATCACTGCCGCCTGCACTGACAGAGTAAATGGCACGGGAGGAAAGATGCACAAAACGAAGAGCTGAAAACACATCTGAACATAGATACTTCTGGACTAAATTCAATTCAATTTAGAATAAATGTTCAGTTTCCTGCTGCTGATAGTGTCACGCCTATTAAACTTTTCCACATTTATCAATGTTTTTGTTATGATACGACACAAACTAGAATGAATTTTATTTCATGTTGCTTAATAAACACCCTCAAAATAGTGGATGATTTTTGAGCGGAGACAGAAGCGGCATTGCATTTGCCTTCAGCACTTATTTAAACACCCATAAAATAAAATCCAGTGGAAACACTTGCATTCAGAAATTACCTAATTAGTACAAAAAATGTCAAGCTGTATGTACTTTAACCTCTAACCTTAGGAGTTTGTTAGATAACATTAGAGAACAGAAATATCTAAAAGTCACGCAATCTACACATCTGACCTTTTTAGCAAGTAAATATTTGCAATGTGACAGACTTTCTGTGAATATTGCAAGGTAGTGCAAGTCTGAACCAAGTTTATTTTGTACTGAAAACTTCCATGGCACATAAAGTCAATGCAATAATTATACCCTCCTAAAAGTATAGTTATACATATCTATATTTTTTAGTCATATTCTATTGCAATCTTTTTTCTTGTCATAAACCTATATGCAGGTATAACATTTCAACAACACAAAAAAAGAAGAAACTCAAAAAATGGTCAACCAAAAACTGAAAACATCTACGAGTTCCCCATTCAAAACTAGTTTCAAGAAATGTTTAAAATAGTCATTATTAGCACATTATTAGCAGAGATGTTATTTATATATATATATATAAAAAACCAAAAAAACATTGCACTTAGTCACTGGGAAGACAGGAGAATGATATACCATGTTAAGGGCTTCTGTGAAATTGACAATTTCATAATACAACATAATAGTAAAGTATTCTGATATATCAAGCTTGAGTGAAACTTTAAAGATTTTCCACATATAAAGTTTATTGACAAAAGACTGAAAATATAAGTGTGAAGAAGTTGTTTTAGCCAGTAAATCTGCACTGGTGTATGGGAATTAAATCTTGATGACTGTTGTGTAGAATATAATTGAAACTGAAAGAAAATCCTGTTTTTTAGAAGTTTTACCCTCTCCGTTTCAATAGTAACTATAATCAGTGATCAAAGAAAACGCAGTTAATTGAAAAGTTAAAATAGAAAATCTTAATGAACTAAATCACAAAAACCTCTTTCATGCCATATGCTAGCTCTTTCAATAACCTACTGGCTTTATTGCAAGGATTTTATCAATACCTCAGTGAAGTGTTAATGAGAGTATAGCAGCTGAATTCACTTCTCTATTAAGCCTCAATTAGAAGCACAAAATGGGTGCTTTCTAAAAGAAGCTTTGCTTCTCTTAGAAATGATTAATCTAGAAGACAACTATGGTTACCTTGAAGGAAATATGCAATTTTATCATCACTCACGCTATTTTATGGGCAGAAAGATTATAGGGATTTTAAAATCTTTGAAATTTATGAGGTTTATTTCCAAATGTTAGAATATAATACAAAGAATTTAACAACAAACCTGTAAACTCTGAATCAGTCAAAGAAACTTCCCTGTTAAAATGTCAGTGTTTTGAAATATAAAAATTTGAGAATGACAATTTAAAAACGCATAATTAACCTGCACAATTTAGCTGAAATGTGATAATGGAGTAAAAATAGAAATTAAAATGCTGCAATAACTCAGTATGAACAAGTCTGCATTGTTTGTTCAACCATGGTTTGACTTTATTTCAAGTTTTAGTCTTCTTAGATAGGAGTCTAACAGCTGGAAGAGCAGGCACCTGTTCTTCATCAGGTTATATGAAAAATACCGATTCATGTCCCATAGAACACATCAAATACTTGTCAGAAATTTCAGTGTTGCTGTGGGTATTTTGGAAGTTTCATACCCGATCAATTTTGGAAAAATTCAGTTTTAGTCCCTTTTGTCTTACATTTTCTCAGATTGTTGCTGATTGCATTTGAACAACAATGTTGAATTTTTGCTAACCGATGCTAAACTATCACTTTTTAATTTGCGTTTGCCTCTCAGAAAACTACGATGTCAGCTTAAGAACACAAATGAGCAGTGTCAGGGAAACTAAGAAAATTTAAATTTATTTTAGGTTAATCAGATTCAGTATAATTGATAACTGAATGCAGAAGCTATATCGTAAGGTGCTTTAAAACAAACAAATCTTTAAATGTCTGCACATATGTGGGATCAACACATGAGCAGCAACATTTGGCAGCGAAAGCCCCTGTAGGTGAATCCAACACGGGACATGACAGTAACAAAAGTTGAACATTTTTCAACTTACTTGTGTCACGTTGTTAGCTTGCATATATGGTCAATGTGCACATCTACATATATGAGCTCAAAATATTACATGCACCAATTTCATGGGTCACTTCGCTGGAGGGAGGCAAGCACCTTTCACCTTATCGCACAAGTTCCACAGAAAATGAAGGAAGAAGAGAGCAACATCACCTCCCACGTGTTGAGTCCATTATGCGGCCTAACTAATGCAGCTTTTGTATTTGACAAAAATTTTGTAAATTTTTCTGTTACATTCAGCATCTTTACGTAGCTCCGATTTGCAGCAAATATAATCTCAAAGCACTTTAGAAAAAAAGAGATTGTAAATTCAGATTAATGTGGGTGGATAGAAAATATCGGTGTTTAATAAGGACAGATCTGACTTGCACGTGATAAAATACTTTGTTGGATTAATGCCCAGACATGCACATTTTTTCAACAGTACTTGAAGCATAACCATGGCTGGTGTGCCATTTTGTTTCTAACAGTGACAGGGTATAATCTGTTTTAAAAAATTCCCATGGTCACTGTCACGAACCTTTGGCTACAAGAGGAATCTGGTGGATTAATTGTGTTCAGAATTGAATTCAGTGTAAAGGAATACAGAGCAGTGACAGGTGGCACCCAACTTCCTTAAACTGATCAAGGACACACATAAAAATACACAGAAGAGTGTTAGAAGAATGTGTGCAGATGTTTACCAGATGTTCTGAGTTCATTTGCTGACATTTCTTCTCTCTGGGTTGAATGCATTTGAATTCCTGTTGGCTCTGCATATCTGTCCTTCATTACTTCGCAAAGCAGGTATTCCTCAGAGTGACGTCCAAGGCTGCTGTGTGAACGATGCACTGAAGTTACAAAAATGAATAGAAAAAGTAAGAACGAGGCAAAGACAAGTCCAACAAAGACAAATATTAACCTTATAATGCAAATGATAGATCAGCTAACAAATACCTCGAAAGACTCAATGTTAATTATTCAGACTGAAATATGCAGTTTTGAATAGCAAAACATTTAGATGTTTTAGTTCTCGTCGTGTGACATGCATTCACCTTTTTGATGATTAATATAAACTTATCATAAAGAACTTACAAATGTAGTACCTTTTTTGCCACTTTTAAGTCATTTGGTTAATGTTTATATATTTATCTTTAACAAGCATAAACATCTTCATCTATACAAATCCACAACCTCAGTTAGTTACTCCTAGTATTTCAGAGTTTTTTCTCCCCAGATACAGTCTACCGAAATTACTACAATTGCTTATATATTCAGGCTGTATAATATTATTTGTATCAAATCTGAGGCATCCACCTGTTTCTGGAATGAGATACTTATTTTGTTTGCTATAGCTTTGACAAGATTGAATATAATTAAATAAATATCTGACAAATTTACAGTGTGTATTGTTTTAGAATATTAATGCAAGTAGCAATTTCTTTACATTGCCATACAGCAGCAAAAGTCAGTAACACATAAATGGCATAAAGAAAACAGAAATAAAAACCCAGAAGTGAGTCTCACACTGCTTTGGGGATACTAATCATCCAAAAGTTAAAACAAATCATTTTAACCAAAAGGTTATGTTTTCAGATCATAATATTTAAGGTTTCCTTTATCAACCAATATGATAATTCCAGTATAGTTACTTGCTGGGGTCGACAACAAATCAATAAAACAAGGCTTTAGGGTAAAATAGTTGAACCACTAAAAGAAGCAAAGCTCCCCTATGATTTCTACAATATTAGGCACTCATTCAGGCTGACAGAGCATCGACCAACTAAAACAGCAAACAGGAGTAACGAAGATCAATTATCAAATCCTGCACAGCATCCAACAATAGTTTCCAGTTTTATTAAAATAGATCAGGATATTTTCAATAATTACATAGAAACATTCAGGTGAATTCAGTTATTTGTTCATTATATTTCAGCATTGAGCAATATTAGGACCAAGGCAGTAATGCTCAACAAGACTTTTCAGCCAATCACGATAGCTGCAAAGCAATTACTGGTTTTTCCTTCTTTGTCTTCAGTGGTCAGCCAATTAATTAATGTTATTGACTGTCCCAAGAAGCTTCGAACTAGTCTAAATCAGCAAAATATAAGAAGACAGTCACTTTTGGTCAGCTCAGGGTTTTCTTTTTGTACATCTAGCAGTTTTTCCTGTACCTGTACATATCTTACTGGTAATGTTGTCATCTCGTTTTAGTATTTAGCATATTATAATGTGCGTATTCTGATGTATATATGGTCTGCACATTATGGTCTGTAATCTGTAATGTGCAGACCATATATACACCACAGAAGTGTATATATGGTCTTACATACACTTTGCTGGTGTAAATAAGATGATATAGACCACAAAGTGTATATGATCTGATAGATATTTTTACTTACATCTAATTATTTTCTAAAGCTTTTTTTTTTTTTGTGCTATGTTTCTGTCTCCCTTTAGTTCTTTGTTTTACTAGATCTAAATGCAACGAGAAACTGCATACTGACAATGTTGTGTCCAAACCAATGACAGCCCAGAGCCAAAAGGAAGAAGGAATATAGAAAAGGTACAGGTGGAGACATGACATGTGTTAAAATCTTAGTAAATAAAAAGAAATGAAGAAAACAGATGGAGCGATATAAAGATTCGTAAAGTGTTGTCAGGGTGATACTGCTCTCCTGTTACTTTTCTGTTCCATTATCTTTGGAGCTTTAACAATGGTGGCAGAGACATTAGAAGATTTGATCAGTAGTTGGCTGCACTGTGCCAGAAGGGTAGCAGTTCCCCTATGGAAAGTATTCTTAAAAAAGACGTATTTATTTTATATAACCAAGTTATCCATCATTTCTGGACAGGGGAATTCATACAAACAAACAAACAAACATCTTTCTTCAGTCTCAGAATTAAAATATTATAAACATGTTTTAATATATTTTAAAAATTTACAAATTCATACAAAATGGCAATAAACATTTAATATGAATCATTTGGCTGGTTAAATTATTATGTATGATTCAGTCCACATGTTCAGGTATCAAGCTAAGAACAATTTTTAAGGTCCTTGTCCTTTTGGACACAAGGACTGAGAAAGAGGGAGTAGGGGTTTGATTTGGCAACCCACAGAACAAACTCCTAGTGTTGCAGTTCACAATAGCAGTCCTGGTCTCTAGACCATATTTTGAATGTCTGATGTTTGACTGCAAATATGTGATAGAAGTATCTGTTGCAATTTGAGAATAAGGGCACAGTATATTCACTTCCAAAAACAAGACTACAACACTGCTACAGCTTTAAATGTCTAGACACACTCTTCTCAGGTTGTCTGTCAATTTGTTTGTTTACATAGTGCAATACCATAAATGCAAAATTCAATAAATAGGAGAATATTTATAAAGCATGGTACAAATGTCCACTTGAACTAAAATGCACAAAGGTATTGGTCAGAGGCCATGATAAGCTTGCAAAACAGATTTTGTCCAATGGTCCACCAAAGCAACAGAAGGTCACCAAAATATCCATCTAAAAGTTTCACTGTAGCATTTGACAGAATAATCCAGAAACAGAAGCCGAGGAGATAAGAAAGCAATTGTAAAAATGTAAAGAGAGATGTTAGTTCTTTTTTTGTTTGTTTGTTTGTCTTAACGGCTAATTGACCATATGACCAAGAGATAACACTTGTATATTAGCAATTTTGTCAGCACAAGATTTTTTGCTATGGATTTAAAAGACTAAAATGAAAAGAAAAAACAGGACAATAATAAGATAAACTGTGCCTAGAAAAAAATTATTTACTGATTGTTTTTGATCCAAATTAAGAACAGCATTTTTATTATCTACTTTCCAACTAAAAGAGAAACAAGAGTGGGAAGATATATCAAGAGTGGGAAGATATATCATAATTAATAGTTGTTTTGATCGAATGCAGATATTCACTGTCAATGGGGAGACAGAAGTGATGGTTAAGCCACAGGACCTTTGTCTACGTCTGTGTGGCTAGACATAGACATGTCACCAAGAACTGAAGAACTAAACACAGGTAAAAGAAAAAAAAGCACACTGATTCAGAAGCATTGGCATACACCCATTCACATACATAATAAAAAGCACATCTGAGAAAACCTCCCTTTGGACCAGCAAGAAGTAAATTGTCTGTTGCTCCCCCACCCATCTTTCTTGTTTTGCCAAGCAGCCAGAACTCCTTTGGGTTTAAAACTCATTTTCATCTCTCTTGTAAGCTCCACAAATTTTACATATTTGTTGAAAACCCCATTATGAGGCCTTTGTGATATGAATAATGCTTGCAAATTGGAAAGTATCTTCAAGCAAAAGTTGGACACTGAGGTAATCTTTACAATCTAATCTCTTGAAGTACAAAAACAGCAGTGACACTTCCTGATGCAGCTCACAGAAAAAAAACATGATCCAGATTGATGAAACCCTCTGAAAGTGATGCATTAATATTCAAAAACAACCCTTATGCATATCAAAACACTTTCCCCTTTTTAACCAACCTGTTGGGTCTGAGGCACGCACTGAAAATTGGAATGTGTGAAGTCTGTCACAGTGAGTCTGCTCTGGTGAGTCTGGGTGACCGGTATCCGTGTCCAAACCTAAAGGCAAAAACCCATCCAGATCACAGAACTGCTCTGATCCAAACCCAGCAGTCTGATTTTGCATCACCTAAGGGGGATATGAAAACAGATGGGAAGACAGGAGAATGAGGGACAGAAATAGATTCAAACATTTTGTGTTAGAGTGTGAAAGAGAGATGGCACACAAAGAAGGAGAGCAAGACAACACACACAAAAAAACAAGTAAATATATTGGAGCTTATTAAAAGGAGGGATGACACAACAATAATGAAACAAACCAGCATAGTATGAGCTAAAGTAAAATCTATCATCATTGTAACTTTTATGAACCCAAGTAACTGAATTTGTATTTTTCAATGTCGAGCATGTAAATACATATTAATAAGACAAAGTCTTTTAATGAAGATTATTCCCCGCTCTCCCGGTTTCCTTTGTTTCCACTTGATGAATTGATTTTTAATTAACCCCTGGAGCTGGCAACAACATCTCACAATTGTGTGGTATGTTTGCCGTTCCTCCTATGCAAGTGTCCTCCTGTGAGATAGGAGTAAAGTGAGCAAGCTATGTTTAGTTAAGATTAGATCTGATACATTAGCATGCTAGCCTTGCATGACACTGCAGATGGGCTGGGAGAATGTAGGGAGAAAGGCAAGTGGGAATAGCAATGCTCAGAGCAAGAAAGGAGTAGGGACGAGGAAAGAAAGGAGGAAGTCAGGCTAAAAGATAATGAAATGGCAAGAGACCAAACAGTGATACTGAACAACCTGGAAGGAATATTTCTTCATGCAAAATACGTTCTAATAATAATTAGCAGTTTTATGTACAGTGTAAAGGTAAGAAAAAAATACAGAAATGGAAGAAGAAACCTATACCCAAATTACCTAAATTAACAAAAAGATTGATAAAGAGATAAAAAAAGGGAGTGAGAGTAAAATAAATTAACAGGAAAAGAGACCAGAAAAAGTCTTGTGCAAAGAGAGAGAGAGAGAAAATTAGAAAAAGAAAATACTATCTAATCATTCCAGGAGCAGTTTGATTTAGGTCCAGAGAGTCCTGATAACCACCATCTTTACAATCATGAACATCCTTTTATTCAAGCTTTTTAATAAAGCGTTGGCTGCTCCTCTTTTTTTTTTTTTCATTCCTTTGCCACGGTACTAGGGATTCATGTCATTAAATGTTAGATTACTCATTTGAGACCATTTAGATAGAACTTTTTTTTATCCACTCTGTTTCTGCTTTCTTTTATCAAGAAATTTCACTTTTAATACCACAGCATTGTATGTCTCTAAGTTATAGATAAATCATGAATCTAATTACAATGATACTGACATTGTCTAACAGAACAGGGAAGGAGCTATAAAAACTAACTAGTTAGCTATGGGTCACTGAAGTTCCTTTATTTTAATCAGTGAATATATCAAACATTATAAATGTCTAAAGCTTATATCTTCTGTGACACAAGGATACAAATATTTAACTTGTATTTATTCGTGTGACATCAACTAATCACAACAAACCAAAACCGATGGCATGCTTAAAATCACAACTCCAACAGTTGCCGTTCCACGTCTTTTACCATCAAGCTCAGTTTACCATCCAAGAAATTTATTAATTTATTAATTAAGGCCACAAAAACCTTAGAGTAATCTAAAGACATTCCATTAAAAATACCAGTGTCAATTTGACAAAAGCACTGCCTCCTTAATTCTGAATTATGCTGTGCATATTACCAAAGCTTATTCTCATGTCAGTGTTGTATGTTGCTTTTAGTTTCATTTTTAACAACTGCTACTGACAAACAGCACCACAGTTTTTTTATAGAGCATTTTGCAAATTATGGTTTATGCATTAAGTGCATAATGGACCTGCTTTTTAATTAGCCCTTGATACCAGAGGATGATAACTGAAGCTTACAACAATTGTAGCAAAGAGGTCACAAAGCTGGGCTAGAAATTCATAATAACAGTGATAACACTTAACACTGTGGCATGTGTTAAGAAATGTGTATATAGAAAGAAATGGGCTATACTGACTGCTTAGCTTTGACGGTGAGCTAATTTCACAGATTTTTAAAAAAAATGTTGCTTTCAGTTTGAATTTTTAAAGATTTCCACCGATGTGGACACTTACAATGGGTAGAAGTCATATGCGACTCTGACAATCACAAACACTTTACAGGATGGGAGCTGATGTTGATCTAACTCAGTGCTCAGTGGAACTGGTTAATAGCAACATGGAAAACATATGTATAAAACAAAGAGATATTCTTTTCAGCATGACTTTACTCTAAGTAAATACTACATATTACCATGGGTGTTTCTGGCCGCTGTCTTGTGCCTTCAGTTTGAAAATCTTTCTCAGTTTTTTTCTTTGCAGGTCTCAAGTCCTCTTGATAAGACATTTCCAGATTGTTGGCCATTTCTCTTGATTTCTCCCTTGGTAATTGTCCTTGTATTCTTGCTTTCTCTGCACAGGAGTCTTCTTCTGTTGGAGTCAGGTAAAGCCTGTCACTGGTCATTATATCCTCACTGTCTTGACAAAACATATAAACACCCAACATTAAAATAAAAGTTGCAGATGCGTTGTAGCTAAAAAAAAAACACTTATTTTCCAAGAGAATTAATTAACATACAGTAAAACAATTGTCTATGTGATTTAGAACATGATACAATGTCATGGCGAACAGTTAACACGGATTATCCTTGTTTGTAATGTTTTCAACTGATGGAGAAAACATTTTACATTCAATATTCCAGTAAAATGGTAATGTGTGATAAGTGTCCTTGACACTTTAAAGCTCTAATAAGCTGATAAAGCTGGCATTCAATGTCTCCTTGGTCAAAGAGTTGAAGTAAGTAGTGGAAATAAAGGATGAAAAAGATGAAGGAGAACACAGAGATGATGGATGAACACAGAAATATTTGTAGACATGTGAAGCAAGGGAAGGAAAGTTAAAGTAAAAAAGGTTTGATAAAGTTGTGGAAGAATCGACCCTGTTCGCTGTCACTGTAGCAGACTTTTGTTTCTGATGTAAGTGGTGGATAGCCAAATCAGGTTTCATTCATCTGAATGCATTAAATGTGCTGACGATTAACTGTTTTCCCCTTGTCTACAGTTTTACCATCTACTTATCAGTTCTTATAAATGTTAAAACATGGGCCTAATCAAGAGAGACTCCACAATATACAAACAGACAACATGCTAACTTTTTTACTGAATGTAACTGCTAAAAGAGATACTCTCTGTGTTTGCATGTGAGCTTTTGTGCCATGATGTGATTTTAAACATAACTAGCAACACCTCCTGTAAACATGTCTGGCTGTGGTGTTACAGCCTTTAAATTTTAAAGATTTCAAATATAAATTGGTCAGAGGATTAAGGTTCGATTTGGGGTATTGTGTTGTGATAAAAACAAAGGTTAGAGTGACAGGCCACAGATTTCACTGTGCTATGTAATGTTGCCCTGGTGATACAGCAATAAATGTGTTTATAGCCAGTAGTACATTCATTTACTTTTCTGTTTGTTACATGTTTAAGTGTGATGTGCAATTAGAAATCAGCTAATCAGTTTTAACAAAAGAAGGAAAATAAGAGCATGCTTAATAGTTGATCTAAATTTGTTTTGATAGCCAAAGAGAATAAAATAAACTGTTACTGTGACATTTATAAGCCATTTACTAACTGTGTTTAAGCTGCGCAGAAAATAGTTGTTTTCTTGAGGTTTCTTTACTGCAAAAAAATTTAATTTGTCATCCTTAAATGGAGAATAGAATTATTAAATGTGAAAATAAAGTGTATTAATCCAATAAAATAACAGGAACGTTATGGCAGATAGGCATCTAAATCATATATCATTCTGACTGCATCAAACGTTATCTGCAAGATTATGCTATTTCCCAAAAAGTCAATCTACATTAGATTTTTTGCTCAATAACGAAGAAGTAATCATGTCCAAAAAATTGTCAGTGTCATTTGAGACAAGAAATGATGCGATACTATATGCCTTTTTACATGATGGTGTTAATTTGTGGTCACCACATAGTAATAACATTAAAACCGGAGCATCTTCATAACGGAGGACAATTGTTTGGCACCTTGTTGGCTATTGAAATAATCGTTCCTAAGGCCTTAGACATTAGCTGTGGTGTTACAGTACCAGGTGATAAAGAATGTGTGAGTCTAATAGAAGACAATCTGGGTCACTGCTGGGAAGCTGGAATTGCTGTGGGGAGATTAGATTGCCTCTTGGTGTTTCATAAGGGTTCAGAGATGAGATTGCTTCTGCAAATAATTGGCAAGATCGGGCTTTTCTGTACCATTTTGTTGTGGGGTTGAGTGGTAAACCTTTGGCAATAAGACGCACTGAGTAGAGGCTGATGGAGAGACACTGATCATAAACCTCAAGGGAAAAAATGTTGATGAAGACGAGAAAAGATGCTCCTCTGGGATAACTGACATCGCACCATCCAAAATTGAAACATCAGTTAAAAATAAAACAGGAGGCTGAAAGGGTTTGTGAGTTTTAAATGTTGATTCTGGTAAGGAGGGGAAGCATTGTGGTGATCCAAGTTAGTTGTGATTCAGTTATTGTAGGAGAGTTAATGGTTCTTGATTAAGTGTTTTGAAGTTTGTGTTTAAGCATATTTCTTAGATGTTCTGACAGAAGAATGAGTGGATGCCCTACAATCTGAAGGTTATGTTAGACAAATAATTCACAGACAGGAAAAAGATCAATTCATGTTAAGCTGTACAAGAACAATTTTGGAAGGGTCCTACTATGCCTCCTTGAACAGGTTAAAAAAGAGCTATGGTTTACAAAAACTTCTTCAAAGCATATTTTTCACAAAATTATTCTCAGATGATATGATTTCACCTGATCAGTTCAGCCAATTTTTAGCTCTCAGAATTAGCTGTTTTTGCTTTTGTCACTTCAAATTGAAATAAGCTGCTGGGCACACCCCCCAACTCAACATTTACACTTGCACTAATACACTTGACAATGGAAAACAGATGCTCAGCTGTACAATTGTACATTTTTGACACTGATGCAGAGGAAGTGGAGCATCCTTCACAACCACCAAAGATGCAATGGCAGATTATAAATGGTAAGTCAACCAACAAAACACTTATCTTTTCCAGCAGCTACTGGACAGCAGTAAAACCAGCTGACCAAATGTGCTCGAGCAAAGTGAAGGAGTGGGCTTGACAAGGGATGCTAGGAAACAGGGCAATGCCCGCTGATTGTTAATAATTACGAGTTTTTGACCCAAAAAACCTTAAGTTATTGCCAGAAAAGGAGGGGTAATTTTTGAAGCACTTGGACTATTTCTGAAGAAAGTAGAAACCCATACAGAGGTATAAACGTGCAAAAAAGTGCATTTTACATAATAGAACTACTTCAAAGACTAATTTAGAAGCACTGCTGCCATCAAGAAAAAAAATATTAGAATTTACTTAATCTCAAGTCTTTTTCAGGTTTCATCGTGAAACACAGCTTACCTTTCACTGAGTCATTTTTTGAAATCTGATTATGAAGGCAATGTGGCTTCTTGACTTTTTGTTGAACGGATGATTTAGATGGTCTGGATGGTTGAGTTGAATGGGTAGAGGAGAGAACAGCTTTAGAACTAATAAACAAATAAGGCTGTTTGAGATAGTTGAACAGCTGAAACTCTGAGTGAAAAATAAAGCACCTTCTCACTTCATCGACCTGTTGATGGCCAGATGGGACAATAACCCCTTTTTCATCAATGTAACCAATTGGAATAAGACTTGAAAGTAAAGCAATTAATCTAAACTCACTTAACTACTCACTCAGTGGTTAACAACAATGCAGCTTATTCATACACATCAGCACTGAGGGTAAACAGACAATAATGACCTTTTTCTCTGTTGTCTTAAAGAAACAACGCATACTTTCAATCAAGAGGACATCTGATTTACATCTATTTACCAGCAACTAAGATTTTTTTATGAGTGGCTCTTTAAACTTTTACATGTCTGCTTCCATTTTGTTATTGAGAATGCTCTGCTGGTAAAAACATGCATTTTTTAAATTAGAAATAATCTAAGATACTATATTTTAAGCCATGCTAATAAATGTTTTAACAAAGCCTTACATTGTGTTGCTATTCAAATTTTGCTCAGTCAAAGGCACCATCTTCATATCATTGGGTTCCTGTGGTGAAAAAAGAAACACATGAAGATTAGAGAGACATAAATGTTAATAGGCAATATGTTCATACTGTGAGCCTCTAAGTACACTTGTAAATTGTTGTGTCTTGATATGATATGATAACTATATAAAAAATAACTACATAAAAAAAAGCTCTTGGATAAAAGCGGTCATTTTTTCATTTACCTCATCCAAGATTTCTATGACAAGATACATTTCAGGAGTGGAAACTGGTGACTCAGTGCTGTTCTTGCTCACAGGGACTTTGAGCAGTGATAAACAGTACTCCCGAAAATCTTCTTCTTCAGCTAAAAATATAAAAACACAAATTAAATTTGAGAAAATTAGATTTGAGGCATATATGTGTAGCATTCTTTTTGATTTAGCAGAATAAAATTGAAATTTTGGGAATTAAGTTGAAATGATTTCAAGTATAAAGTTTAAATGTTTACAAAAATGTTCAGAAATCCAAAATGATCAAAAAGGGAGGATGTGAAAGAGTCTGACTGATTACTGATTCCAGTAATTAGATGTTGGAGTCTTAAGAAGCTGCTGAGCAGTCACTCATCGCTTGTTGGATCCACTTGCTGGTAGTATCTTGCATCAATTTCATGCCATGTTGTTGAGCTCCACAAAGCAAATGCTACTGATGTGTTACATATCTCGACCTGGATTTGTCCCTGTTTTATCCTTTTTTAGGTCAAGTGGAATCACATTTTGTCTTGCCGTACATAGAATTGGATTCATGTTGTGAATTCATGACTGCTCCATGCCTAATCTGACCTTTGATTCCATAACCTGTCCGCTCTACCTCTAGTATGTCTCTGGAGCCTCCAAAACACTTTCCTGGATCCATGCCTCTCCTTCAGTGTTCAACTCCACCAGAGACTGTAAGTCCTACCCACAAAAATGGTCACATTTTACCATTAAATTAAGGATTTTAAACTGCTATCCAAGTAGGTGAACCATCCACATTCAAGTGTTTACTGTGCTCAAAATTTCTTCAGCAAGTTATTTTTAAAAAGTGCACTCCATAACTTTGATTTGACGACTGAGAATTAAATAATAGATCATTCTTTCTTGTAACTGTATGCAGATAAGACAAAAACAGAAGTGTCTTTTGGAAATGTAGAGATGTACAGAGGTTGATAACCTATTCCTGCCACCTGCTTCAAACCTTTATTCTAATTCGTTCTCGTTACAACAGGTTGCAGAGCCTCTCCCCCTCATCAATCTTTAAATATAAAAGGGGCAGAAATGAGTATGTCAATGAATAATAGAAGCTGTTTACTTCCTACATGTAGGAAGAAATCCTTCATCTAAAACTTTCATTTTCTTATGCTGACAGACCAACGTGGTGGAGTGACAGCAGTTTGTGAGTGCAAGAAAGTTTGTGCGTCGCAACCCTCAGTGGTTAGAGCAGGCACTCTCCCTGTCCATAGATTCTTTGCCACATGTCTTCTTCCACCTCTCCCCATTCTTTTCCTGTCAAGTTATTGTCAAAGGTCATTAGTAAAGAAAAAAAAGTTTGCGCTAACGTGTTTGTGTTTAGCTTCCATAGAGGAATTTACCTTCACAGGCCACTTTATTAGATTCACCTATTTTTACTTGTTAACACAAATACTGAATTAACTGGTCAAATAGAAAAGAACATAAACATTTAGGAGTGGTGAAGATAACTTGTTGAAGTTCATCATCATCAGAATTTTGAATATGGCACACTTGTTGGTGTCAGACGGTCTTATCTGAGTACTTCAGAAACTCCCAATCTCCTGGAATTTTGAAGCTAATCAAATAGGTGTGGTGGATTTTGATGGAGGGCTTCTGTTACATGAAGAACACGGACAAAACCAACTTTCTCAAAAGCACAGTCCGTTTGAATATGTGAAATATATTTACACTGGCTGAAACTCACAGACCTAAAATTGGTCAGAAGTTAATTTTTATATTCAAATCTCAACTAAATGCAATTAATGTTATCCTTAGGTCAGCACAATCTAAATTTACTCCCAATTTGTTAAGACCATTTAACAGAAAACAGTGTGACCTAGGAAGTATTTCTGACCTATAATATATAAAAAACTAACAAAGAGACAGCCCTTTATTGCAACAAGAAGCAGTTTAATGCCCTTGGATCAAAAGGTACTCAGGGGTGGTTGTAATGCTGGTCTATCATCTCCTTTTAACCCTTGGTTGTTGTTAGAAAATGAAAACACATCATTGACTGATACAGACAGTGAGCTGCAGATGACTGGCTGTACCCTACCTCCCCTTGAATGCCACATTCAAGGAGAGGTACGCCCAAGCTTGTTATAGAAGCTTGAGCCATCTATAACAGCACTCTACCTGTACAATCACAGCCAGTGATTACCTGTCACAATGCTATGGATGAATGGGCAAGGAGCGATATCTCTGACCCGCTGAGAGAAAGAGATTTTCCAATTGTGTGTTTGTATATCTGAATGTGATATGTGTGGATGTGTGCTTGGGTAAGTCATCTATCAATCTACTTTTCTGAAGAGGGTTTAGGTTAGTCTGAGAGCATCTTCTGGCTGTGTATAAGAAAGGTTAGATGTACAGCAAAAGTATCAAGATCTAATTTTCTGTGTCAAAAGATGTATATCACACAGAGAAGGATAGATGTGTGGATGTGCTTGTGTTACCAGTTAGGATGTTGGCCATCTCTTCCTCTGTGTCTGTGATAGGTGGTGATTTTAAACCCATGCCAAATGCCAGTGATGGAGGACTTTCAACTGGTGTTCTGAAAACAGAAAGTTAACTTTGAATTAAAACATAACGATAAAAGTGCATATTATAAACAATAATATGTACTTTTGTTCTTTCCCTGAAACTATCTGTCTTTGGATGGATGGCTAGATAGAAAGATGGACAGACAGTTTTCATATCTTGGTATAGGGTCCTGGGTGTTGACATACAGCAGAAAGCATTCAGAAATTTAAAAATATTTCTACATATTGGTGACGGGGGTGTTCCTGTGAGTTTAGAATTATGAATGTACCTTAATGAGACTTAATATTATTATTATTTTATTTTAGAAAATGGCTGCTATGAAACAAAGAGTGAAAAATTTAAAGAGGTCTAAATACTTCCCATACTCACTGTATCATACCATCTGAGGTAGTGGCTCTCAATATTATGTTGTCAGATAAAACTTAAACATCACACAGCAAGAAAAATTTTATATTTCAGTCCAGTTGGAGACAATAATGCAAGCCTCTACAACTGAGAACAATCACAACACAGGAGTCTACAATTGTTTCTCATAATTTATTAAAAGCCATATTGCAGTGCACCAAGTAAAAAAGCTTAATTTGCTCAAGATTTCAAGAATTGTTTCAGCCAACATGAACTCAAAGAAATATTCCAAATAATAAATTAATATTTCTTTTCTCTGAAATTTTGGAAAATAATATTTCACATGTAAAAAAAATGCAGAAGCAAATGAGCTATAAATTGCTGCAAATAAACACCAGCAGTATTTTAGACATATAATGGGCCTATGTTATTTAATGTAAGATTAACTTTGTGTTTTAGCATATGTGTTGTTATAGATGCTTGTAAACCTTATTGGTAAAAGTCATGAACGATATTTCAAGCTTACACAGACATCACACATTTGCCTTGTTCATGCTCCATAGCAAAGACTTGCAGAGGTAAAGGAATGTTAATCAAATATTTTCTCTACTATTTGTTAAACCACATCCTAAAATTGCTTTCTAGAAGTGGACCTGTCTAGTAGAGGACTATCAGCATGCAGGTTTTTAATAGTTTAGTTTTCAGGACCTGTTAAAAGTCTGGCTCTCAGAGGACGGATGAGTACTCACTTACCCCTGCAACATAGCTCAGTCAGCGCGGTCAAAAGCTCGCTTTCTATAACCTGCAGGCCGCACACAAATCTACTAGGGTGATAGACTTTACGACTCTAATATAGCTGAGCACTTTTAGCTGATTCTTTAAAGCTCTCTCTTGCTCTCTACCCCCTCCTTTTCCCATTATTATTAAAGCTTGTTAAAATTCAACCTCTCCTTCTTTCTTCCCTCCAGCCGGTAAGACTCTCTGTCTCTCCATTAAGCTCTGCTACCATCGCTGCTTCAGGGTTATTGCACTCCAGATTGGCTCTCTGGTCTATTCCACAGTTAAAGGCTGCTACAGTTTGGGATGTAGAGCATTCCTGCTCCAGCAAAGAGAATGCCCAAAACTCCACTCAGCTCTCTTTCCTGCTGACCTGCTCTCAAGCTGAATACTAAGACCAAAAAAACTGCTTAAATAAAGGTTATAATAACGGGACCTGCAGAAGCCCAACCTGCAGGCAATGAACTGCACAATAAGTACAAAGAAATTGCTTTGTTCAGTAGTGCCTTATAAGGGCTGACTATGGAGATGCAGGTGAGGCATATGCTATGGCAACAAAAAATCTGTGACAGTAAAATGTTTTCATACAGTAAGTATGTGTTTTGGTGCATATAAGGAGCTACATAATTAATTTACATGGAAAGAAAGAGAATGTGTGTGTTCCTGAAAGATGCATACTGTTTTATATTGTGTAAACTACCTCTGTATTGACCTTAACAAGTTGTCACTATGCCATGATGTAAAGCAAAAAAAATTTTTCCAAAACAATACTCCCTCTTCAATTCTTTTAAATACAAAATGCCATATAACAGTAACCTCCGATGGGAAACACATAGCATGTGCATTCTTAGTAATAGTCCAATCATTGACTGTATAAATTAAATCCTACTGGTTGGTAAACTCCATATTCAAGATCTGAAACTTAGAACATGGTCATGGCTTTGAAAGCACACACAACTCATCTGACTTAAAGAAGACACAAAGGTTGCTGCTTCTGATACAGAGTTCTAAAAATAGCCTACATTGTACTTCTTATTTGAAAACTTCCTAAAGCATCAAATATCAACATCCAACTTATTTTTATCAAAGTTAATTGACTTGTATTTAACTTGCCAAATTGTGGTACCACTAAATACAGTGGTATTTGTATTACAGTTTGAAAACTATGATTTTATAATATTTTGGATTGTTAGGACCTATTTCAAAATAGCTGTTGTGATTTGCATTTGTATTGTTATTTGTACCTGCGGTGCTTCTTTAGGAGCAACCTATCCATGTAGGTAAGGCTGTTTTCATAAAACTCCACTCTTAGCTTCCCTTCTGCTCCTTCTCTTTTTAGTCCATCAGCTTCTCTGCCTGGAGGGATGTCAGTCTGGGTCGACATGGCTGACACCAATACTGAGAAAATATGGGGAGAGGGACATGGCATAATACAATGAAATAAGAGAGGAGATACACAGCATAAAGTAACAGAAAGGTGAATCAAAATTAGAGAAAACAGCAGGATAGTATTTTGAGCAGCCTTTTGAACAAACCTTTCTATAAGAAAATAGAGAAAACACACTCGACTGCCAATATAAAAGTGCCGAAGCAATAAAAGACAAAAGCTAACCACATCAGAGCAAGAGTAAAGTTTCAAACAATAACACATAAACTAAGTGATCACACATGAGAAAACAAAATACAGAAGTAAAGAAAATTTGGTGATAGTTTTGCACTGGGAGTTCACGCAGTGTCAGCTTTAAATTGGTGCTTGGGTCCATTGGCCTTGCAGAAATGATTAGCGCCAGAGGGACTACCCGCAATTTTCAGAGCAGAATGAATAGACAGAATCTGAGTCCGTCCAAGCAGTAGAGCAGAAAAAAATAGGCTTGATGATGAACACAAACATCTGGTCAGATGCACATCCAAACAACCCAGAATATAAATTGTGTCACCTTATTTAAACCTTAAACACACAAAATGAATTAAAACAAATGTAGATACAGTTTTGATGAAAAGTCACAAAAATTAGCTAATATAGTTTTATCCATTGTCTCAGGAAAGGCAGTGCTGTGTTAAGGTGCAGCCATGTCCTTACAATCCCATGTTTATTACTACATGAGGCAACAACTATAGTCTACCAGCATCATATTCAGCCCTGGATCTTCCAATAATAGTGAAGACTTTACTTAATTAACTGATCAGACTATGAACAAAGAAAGCACAAAATGTTGAAAAGAAAACCAGATAAGGAGAGAGAAATGGCTGCGATAGCTGGATGATAAAAAAAAAAAAACACTTTTATATCTGTTGCATGAATTGTCAAAATATTGCAATTGGTGCAGCATTAACACTGTATTGTTAATGTTCTGCACAGTTGATCTTCATTTAAAGTCCATTTTACTTATTGATGTTTTAGACCAGATAATTTTTAAGACCATTCATATGGCCAGAGGGCCAACACATTAATAAATAAAATGGAATGTATAAAAAGTGAGTATGCAACCAATTTTTTTTCAAATTTTTTGATGTGCCTCCATTTGAAAAAGCCAGTTTACTCAGAATTAAAAACAGTTCTGAGGAGGATGTTACTGCATCAGTTCAGAAACAAGAATGAAAAGCATTCAACACAAACTCTACAATTATAAAAGCAAAAAGTTCAGCATTCTTCGAAAGATACACACCAAGCATACCTACTCATTCAAATTTTATCAGAAAATATCAGGAAACTGTGTAGCCTGTGGGACTGAGCTCATTAAAGATGGACTGAGGCAAAGTGGAAAACTGCCCTGTGGCCAGCTAAATCAAAATATGAAATGCATTTGTTTTAAAATAATGGATACCATGGCCATGAGCCTTAAGAGGAGATAGAGCATTAATTTTGGTAACACCGTTCAAATACTTTAGCTGAGTTTGGATGTAGGTGATGAGTAACCTTCAGAACCATTTGATATACTGCTTCTTTCACACAAATGTAATTTATTGACACACCCATTAAGATATGTAAAAAGCCTTTAAAATAATTTAGTATCTGTAACATACAGGCAAAATCTTACAATAAATTTAGAAAAAAGAAAACATTTAATTTCAGCGTGTGGTGAAGTCACATTTTAAAATTCAAATGTTTTGTTTTTAGCTGGATATGTATTTGTCTTCTTGACACTTCAGTCAAAGTGAAGATTTTTTTTTCACTTCACTTGTTGACTAGAACCTTTTGATATGCAATAAATAATTTTCTGTGTTGTTGGTCCTATGACTTACCACACAGAAAGGCATGACATAAGTGAGAGCAGTTTCTTTTAGTGTCATTTTTCACATAAAAAAGGAGGTTTCTTTGCATACAGGTTTTGAAGACTCTTACAGTGCACCAAAATCAAAATCTTTTTTTCAAAGAAGTATTTGCACTTTTGAGGCAGCCTTGCTTCTGGAAATAATATAGCCTGAATGCTGAATGTCCTGGTACAGTTATATCAAACAATAAAGAAAACTCTTTGTATTCAGAACTACTACAATTGCTACCCTCAACAATTCATTTGTCAATTTAAAAAAATAATGAGTGTGTATGCCTACCAACCATGTCTATATATTTCACCTGGTGTGGTGGGTGTCTCCAGTGCATCAGTTGTAACAAGGTTTTCTTTTCCTTCACTCCTTTCTTTCCTCCACTGTATCAGAGCATCCTGAAAAGATCTTGCAGACTCCTCCTCACTATACTGCCCTGTAAAAATGGAGTTGGCCAATTCACTTTTATCATCTTCAATTACTCCCACTGCTTTCTCCTGTCCATGGTTTATAACCAGCACCTAGAACATAAAGAATATCTCATGAGCTTTTATGTGATGGTCAAAATGTGATGTAAGTTTCCATACATATTCTCATTACTAAAGGTGACCACTACAAATTATCAAACACTGCACCTCCAAATCGGCTCTTCTGATGTAATGAATACAGATTATTGTGTCAGTACAATGTATACTAAATGTTTCAGTTCCTTTTATTCTTTTTCCTTTCATCTTTCAGTTCCAATTCTTGGAAAAGTGATGTGTGGTGAGTGTAAATCTTGAGGAACCACTAAAGCCCATTTTCTGCTTTGTCTGGATTCTATAGCTAGTTTTGGTCATTGTTCCTTTGTTCTTATTTGGCATCAGTTTCCCACATGATCACACTATCTACCTAACTAGCCACTGGCTGACTGGCTAGTTAACTTAGCTTCATATGTAAGCTAGCTGGTTCCCTGGTAGCTGGCGCCTTAGTAGCTTCAGCTAACAAGAAAAACTCCCTCTCCAGTTTTGCATTTTCTGGTGTAGGTATAGTCACATCTCTGAGAATTATGCATTCTTGTTTTTTCTAATGTTTTGTTGCATAATTCATTCTCTGATTTTTCTTTTTTAATATTATGTAGTTTGGCATAGAAGCTTCCTGGATGAATATTTTGACTGTAAGGTTGAGCTATTTAGTTAATAAATTCTCAGACTTTATTAAAAAAGTATTTGTGATTATTCCACAATTATGTGTGAAGTGTGTCTTGTTTCCTGTAGCGTTGAGTTCATTATTTCATGAGAGACCAAAAATGTTTGACTGACTATTCTGGATGCTCTGGTGGAGCCCCAACTCTTTCCAAAGGAAACTTAGACTCTGTTAATTTTATTAATGATAAATCAATCGTATTAATAGCTGTATAATCCAAACATTGTCAAACACATGCAAAGTATTTTATTTAGTTTGTTTTTAAACTTGTAACTAAATACAAATTTGCAAGATGTACACCAGCTGGACATGGAGCTAATTTTTTTTCTCTACCTTGTGACCTCAGTTGTTTGAAAAGGCTACTGTCAGAATGAGGTCAACTGCGCTCTATGGTGTAAAGAGTATGAAATGTCAATCTAACTGTTCCTGCCAGACCGACACTGCTGGAGGGCTCCTTTCAGTCCAAAGGTACATGCAGTTCACAAGTTTGCCTTTAGATACAGCCTGTGGATTTGGCGTCAATTAGGGTTTGTTTGAAGTTCTTTCAATTGACTCATATGGTGCAGAGGTAGAACTCGCACCATGTAGAGGCTTGTCTGATATCTTTTTAGTGAATTGTCACATTATGTGAACTGCAAATGGAGTGTAATTTTATCTGCTGGCAAATTTATTTTTTATGCTGTATCCATTCTTGGACAGAGGCTTCATGTTTGGTTTGAACAAAATATCAACAAGTGAAATAAAGCAAGATTGCTAAAATAGTGAATGCTTTTAAACAGTGTAATTTAAAATGAAAGAATTTACATATGATAATGAAACAACATCAAGTAAAACTTTCTCAAATATTTATTTTTAGAGAAATCTAAATATCATCAAAGAATGTGTAGTGTACACATAGTTATAATTCATAATGTTGGAATAGAAATGAGCATAAAGTTGTCCTCTATTTAGTTATATCTTATACTTTAAAGTCGGCTTTTGATCACTTGCACAGCACATACCTGACTGCAATTATGAAAAACTTCCATCTGTTTTTGCTTCACCTTTGGCCACTCATCTTCACTTGTGGTTATTGCATTGAATGTGAGGTTGTGATTGGAATCAGGGCTTCTACTGGAATCAGGATTATAGATACCGGGAAAAGAGCCAGGGTTAATTTTTCTCTGGAAGCAGCTGACGTCTTGGCTGATCACTTGAGCCTGTGCATCTGTCTGCAACAGAAGATCATAGGTTATGACACCAGATCAGTATTGCTTTGTTTAAGAGGCTGGAATTACTGCGCTTATCTAAATTCTATTGAAACATCATTGCGATAAGCTCGCACCTACTGAGAGTTTATATTACCAAAATGAAGCCCGCTTCAGCCCATCAAGCAGTAACAAATGAGTAAGAAAACTATTATAGAAGAAAGGAATACATGAGAGACCCTTACGACACTGAACCTGTTAGCTCAGTTCAGAAGAAGTATGTTGGTTGAGATAAAATGTAACTTTATATCCAATTCCAGGTATATGGATCATTTTGGATCTATCAACAGACACAGCTCACTAAGGAACTATTTTGTACACGAGTATACATGTAGAAATCCCTATCCTGATTATTTCACAAAAACTCTAATTGATGTTATTCATAGGACAAAAGACCAATGTCACTATAAAGGCAACTTAATTCCCCTTTCTTCCTGATTTTGGTGATTAGTTTGAACTTCAGCAAGTCATCTTAAACACATTGAAATACCCAAATACACTAAATGCCAGGCGATTGACTGCTTTGCTATTTGGGTTAATAAAAGAAACTGCAAAGATGTTCTTAGCAAAGAGGCTGGTATACATTTATATGAACCTGACCCAACTTTAAAACAAGAAATTGTGTTTAAACAATCATGACAGATGACCAATTAGTTCACAAAATTGGTACAAGCTAAAGTAGTGCAATGAAAAAGTTATATACCTTTCAATCAAACTTAATACATTTTGACAGGCGATGTTTGACTTGTCAGTGAGGGGACCCTTAGCCTGTCCCCTCACTGACAGGTTAAAGGTTACCTCTCAAAACATATTAAGTGAGCTCAAAAGGTGAATATATACTTTTTTTACCATGAAGCATAACTACTGCGGCATGATGTGCCAAATGCCTGGAACCGTTCTTTTCGTTAAATTGTAGACAAGAAATTTAGCACTCACAACTTTTACTCAAATTGAAGTAGTAAATACCAAGCAAACCCTATTTAAAGTACACTGATGGCATAAAGCAAAAGGAATGATGCCAGACAGCTCTCTTGACCCCATTTAGAGGGTAACTCCTAATCATTTTAAGTGCTCACACTTACATCCCTGGTCTATCCTTGAAACCCAACACAGAAAAGTTCATTTTGTGTGTGTATTTTGTGTGTGTGTGTGTGTGTATATATATATATCTATATATATATATATATATATGTATATATGTCCCTTTCATTAAACTGATAAAATATTGATTACGTTAAAATTAAACTAAAAACTGCAAAAAAAAAGTATTTTTGTCTTGAGCAAACATCTCATTTTAAATAAGACAAAACTAATTATTCTTATTTTAAAAATATTGTTTTTAGCGATCATATTTTTGTGCATGTTTAGTTTTGCCTCATTGACCGTATTAAGATATTTGCAGTAGAAACTAGATAGAAATACTTGGTAAAGTTTTGTATTTTTGAAGTGCAGTTTGGTTAAAGCCACAGTCCACCCAGCAGCAGCTAATTCCTCGAGAACCAATAAAACTGGCTAAACAGTCGCAGATTTTTCCGTTATAAGCTGTTCTCATTTCTTTGTGTCAGTCAGGATGATGTAATTCAGTAGCTCTTATAAAGTTTAGCTAGTCACTGATAAGTTCAACCATCTCATAAAACAGCATCTTCTTCAGCCTGACAGTCATCCAGGCAGCATGGAAACAGTTTGAAGCGCTGCAGTGTGTTATAATGACTAGTTCTGAAACACCTGAAATTGGACATGTAGCAGTTTCACAGAAATGCATCATGCCTAAAGCTATCTATTGAGTCCAATCAAATAAACCGAGGAAGAAAGAAAGAGAATCGGGTGACCTTTGCATTAAAGCTGTAGTAGGAAACTTTTACAAAAATATGTTTTTTCCATATTTCTTAAAACTGTCATTATGATGTGACAGCATGAGACAGAGAAGCTGTGAAAAAAGTTAATTCCTATGCCATCTCCCTTTGGTTCTACTGCAGCCTGATAAAAACCAGCCTCTTGTCCTACGCTATTTGCTTTGTACAGTTTTGTTTACAGCCTGCGCTGTAATCAACCATTCTCCACTGTTAAGAGAGAAGCACCAATCCGAACAAGAAGTCTGTTAATGTTAATTCAATACTTGGAACTGAGACCAACACTGACTTCCTTCACTTCCACTGCTAAAACTTCAGACTGACCACAATTCTTAAACTCTTTGCTGATTGGCCCAGTGAAAAATCAACCGGAGACAATCCCAATCAAGAGGAGAAAAGGCCAGACTGTGTTGGAAGCAAAACATTTTTTCGCTTGAAATTGCACAAGAAGGCAATGGTCAGCCTGGTTCCTCTGCCACTTGCAAAATAAATTGTTTGTCAAAAATAACCAACGAGAGCGAGGAGGAAGGTCTCAGCACTGTCAATCACACTCGTGTGTCGGCTGCAGCAGGGCAAATGGCGGAGAAACAACTTAGTTTGTTATAGGATAAACATTTATCTGCCGTCATTGGAGGCCATCCTAACGAGCCTGAACATTCTTAGCAGGCTCTGTTGAAGGGAAGGAGCTGTAGCAAAGAAGAGAGCAAGGAGGTGTGTAAAATAAATGTGAGAAGCATGTGAGCAGCATGTACACAGAACTAAGATCTTCCTCCTTCTGACTGACTGTTTCTGACCAAGCCCTGTATTTTGGCAAATGGTAGGACCACAGAGAGAAGGCAGAGGGGCTTGACTTCTTCACAAGTTACCAATGAAACATTTTCTTACATAAAATTTACTTACTAAAGCTTTGATTTCATTTAATAAATACATTATGTCCTGGTATATCAAACAGTAAACAAAACTTTACAGGGATTAAATTATGTCTTTAGTTCTATAATAATGTTTGGTAAAGCAAATTAGTTTTTTTTGTCTATAATCTGCCATTACATGCAAAAAAGCAAAATCAGTCTGTTAGGTGTATTCTGTCTTTGTGTTGAATTTGGAATCTAAGAGGAAGGAAATAAAATCTTCAAGTATCAAATCTTTGTGCTTAGTGTTCAAATGCTGTATAAAGTTCTTACATGTGTTGGGCCAAAACACACTCTTTTCAAGATCCCTCAATAGCAAATCAAAAACAGTGAGAACAAACAGAAGGTTGATAAAGCTACTCTTTTTCCTTTTTCTGACCTCTTCCCAGCTCTGTTCACAGGTGCACTTAGATAGAGTCTGAATGTCTAAGTGCATCTGAAACAAAGGAATTGTCAGATCAGCATCTGAAACTGATACTCTGTGATAGTGTAATTGTAGTGCAATTGGTCCAACTTGCAAACATTCAATGAAAACCACAATAGCTACATGTAAAGGTTTTTACAAATATGGCTTTGAAATTCAAACTCATGACTCCCATTTTACACCACCTACATACTCCACCTAACATATCACTGTATTTGCAAAGCATTTGTATAACATGCAAGTGAACAGATAATCAAAGAAATACTGATACTTTCTGTTCAAACACATTTCTTAAACAGAAACTAAGCTCTTCTGTGTTAGACCAAATTTTGGATCAGGTTCAGTACAAGTGGAGCTCTCAAAATGACTGATAACACACGACATGAGTTCAAATTCTGATTTTAAAAGATACATTTATTTGACTAACAGTCTTAGGGAACTTAACTACATGTATGAAAAGTCTTAATTTAAAGTTGACTGAGTATCACTTCTTCCTCAATTGAATTGACGTTTAATGAGTTTAAAATTTATCAAACGAATAAATTTAATTTTTTTTAAACATAATTTACAAGTGGGTTGTATTGATAGAACTGATAAAAATAAACATATTGTTAAACAGAAATTACAACCTCCATCAAAAAGCATATATACATATATCAAAAATATTTTTCTTACAGTTGAAGAAACAAACAAATTCCAGCAGAACAGTAACAGGCCTTTTTTTTTTTTTTGCCTAAATAGGTTCCAGAATGGTAACCAGCTATAGAACCAGCATCTTCTATTTACATTTTAAAAAATTAAAAATCCTTTTTTGCAACCAATAAGTCATTGTGCATCTCATTTCATAAATCTTTGTCTCACAATAAGTACTTCAAAGTAAATGTGTGCAGTTCCATTTTTCTGTTTATGCTCTAATAGATTGTGTAACTGTGGGACCTAGAAGTGGGATGTTTACAGAAATATGACCTACTGAAAACAAATTGTGTTGAAGAATGTTTTCTTTTGAACCAGAACCAAAGAATAGAAAGTGGGTGGGAATGATCTCAGAGACAAAATGAGAAATACAACATTATGACATAAATTAGATTACTTAAACAGGCCTCATTTATATAGTGCTCTTTGGAATTACCTGACAATTATATATTATATTTATATTTTTGCTACACCGCAGCTTACCACACCCTCTTCATGTGGTTCTGCCTTAATGAACTACGAGTAATGATTAATTAATTCATCATTATTGATCCAGGTCTCTGTGTGTGAAAGGCAAGACATATCTGATGAGGTAAAAAAAAAAAAAAAAAAAACTCAATTTATCATATTGATGATTTGTTCTTTCTTTTTGCACTTCATTTTGCCTCATCCCTCATCAGAGGGTCGAGGCATAATTTTTTTCCAAAGAAAATCAAACAGGATTAGTATTGGGGAGAGAGATATGCCTGCGTCAGCTGCATGAGCATAATCCCCAGTCTTCTGCCAAAATACACAGTTTTGCATTACTGCTGGCTAAAGTGAGGATAGAGCCCAAACGAACAGTGAAAATGTACATGAAAATGACAATTGTCTCTTAAGGTCTCTTGTGGTTTGATTAAACAAACATGTATGTGCATTGTTGATTTAATCCATGTTGCATCCTAAAGACACATTAGTGTGTTAACCTTGCCTTTGCTGAAGTATTGAAAATATAGTAAACAATGTGCTACAGCATTTATAAAAACTGAATAGTGTACATTACAAAGCAACGTTTAAACACAAAAAGGATATCTTACTCAGAAAAAGTTC